AAATTTCAAAATAAACACGTTTTCTATTTTTATATTTTCAGAAAGGCAAAAAGAACACATTTTCAGAAATTTCAAAACAGACACTCAAAACACAAAACACAAAATGAATTCAAAACTCAATACACAAAACTGAAATACAAAGAGAACGCCCCCTAAGTTTTCTTCGTAAGTTTTTTATTTTTTGGACAGACAAAAATGCATTTTTATGTTCTTCAAAAAGAAGATAAAAAGTAGCGTTTACTTCATTTGAAAATAAGTAATTTTATATGGGCCCAACCCGTGGTGTTTATTGCTAGTATTCTTGACCCATGAGGATACTTACAGCCCAATCCATGTGAACCTCCAATAAACTAGTCGTGGGCAAAAAAAGCGAAAACCTACCAAACCGAACCGAGTTTAAACCAAAAAATCGATTTGGTTCAATTAGTTTCAACCGTTAAAAAGTCGTTGGGTTGGTTACGATTTAAGCAACCAACCTGTTAATTAATCGGTGCAACAAATTAATATATATTTTTATTTTTTTCCATTTCAAAATTCATATTTTTAAACTTAAAAAGAAAATAATAGAAGTATAAAAATAAGGGTTTTGCTAGTTTTTCTACCAACCAATGATGAAATGCCACTTGCACATTATGTATACCAAGGTGTAAATCCTGATGTACATGTAAAATAATTATTTCTCCAATAATTAGTTTACATCTACTTCTCTTATACCAAAATTTCAAATTTCAAAAGAAAAGAAAAGCAAGGAGAAGAATTGTTTGTTGTTAACTCTAAATTCATATTGTAGTCTTATTTTCATTTTGGTTTAATAGTTTGTTGGTTCAGTTTTTATTTATATATTTTGAGAAACTTATAAGTACTAGTCATTTATATTCAAATCATTTATAAACACTTTCTGCACATGTTGTTATCGTATGCACGTATGTAGCTAAATAATGAAAAAAATGAAAGTTATTTCATCTAGGGATCATTGTAGGATGTGTTTTGTATATCGTGATTACCACAAGATGGTAACGTTTAAAATAATATATAAATAAATAGCTAAATTCATCATCTTTTTTGTGGCTAAAGATTTTAGATGTGATAGTTAACGTTTTAAGTTCAATTTTTTCTAATATTTAACTATCAAAAGGAAAATCGCATCCGACTTCTCTTATATAATGCATTGATCTACACATGAAAAGACGTGTTAAAGATAATAAATTAGGTTTTTAGATAAAATTATCTTAAAGTTAATAAGGATATATGACCCAATGATTGACCAACTTCTAATTGATCCTAATCTTAAGGAGTACTATTTATTGAAAAAGAAAAGCACTTGGTGTCACTTTGAGAAAAGCATTCATAATGGAAAGGGACATGGGCAAGAAAATAATTATCCGTTGAAAGGAACGTTACAAAATTACCTGCTGATCAAGATTAGAATAANAAGGAACGTTACAAAATTACCTGCTGATCAAGATTAGAATAATAGTTAAATACTGTTACACATACAATTCGATGGATGTATCTGTCAAGTCGAATATTTTACAAATACTAGAAGATAATATTAAAGAAATTGAATAATAATATATGTTACTGTCTCTCTTATAATAATAAATAAGAATAATTGTATCAGCGGTACTAAATATTTCATTAAGTAATAAATTTTGTCTAAGTCTTTCATTTGTGTCAACCATGGTACCAAACCTTTCAAAATATTGCAGTTGAAGTCCAAATGAATTGTTTCTGTTTGTTTGACTTTTAGTTGACCATATAATTGATTTTGACAATAATTTTGATTAATTTTTAAAAGGGTAAAATAGTAAATTTATATTTTTTATAATAAAATAATCAAAATCAAACACTTAAAATTAAAAACTCATTTCCACATTCTTCTCCATCTACCCCACACATACCCACACCAACCCCAACCCCAAATCCATCACCACCACTATTGGATGGCTCAACCGCACCCATCTAATGCCGGCGCCACTGCCATCTCCTCCACCGCCATCTTCATTCACATCACCCAACAAATTTTTCTTCCCCTCAAAGTTTTCACTTTTTTACACTCTTTGTCGGAACCTTCTAGAATTACAACGAATCTAAGCCCCTTTCTCTTCTCTCTCTCAATTAGTTTTGCCACAAAAGTTTTAGGGGAGGTAGGGTCTAGCTATGGCTCTGCACCAGGGGATTGAAACGGAGGAGGGAAATCGACTGCCGACGACTTGGCAAGGTCATTGTCTACACTGTTTAGTAACCAAAAATCTGTTCAATTATAATTAATTCTTATGGAAATGATTTTTTTTTTTTATTTTTTACTGATTGCAGTATTGTATTTCAATCTGTATGGATTTAGGATGGTTCTGCTTGATCAGTAGGAATTTTGAATAATTATTTCCAACGAGGTGAGAAAAAGCTACTATGCGACATACAGCATGGGAACGACGCCTTTTGTCGTGGTGGCAACATCGTTAACTGTGGTTACGTTGGCGACTACACTTTCGATACCAACCGTGACTCAGCAACTGACGATGTTTCCTTCGAACTTGGGAGAAGAATAGGTTCTGTCATCCTCCAACTCCGTTAGGGTTTCACACAAGTTTATCGGAAGCACATCGAAGTTGATTGCACGCGAGTTTATCGATAGTGGTGGAAATGGTTTTTAGGTGGGGTGGGTATATGTGGGGTTGATGGAAAAGAAGAAGGTGGAAATGAGTTTTTAATTTTAATTATTTGATTTTAGTTATTTTATTATTAAAAAAATGTAAAGTTATCATTTTAATCTTTTAAAATTAGTCAAAATTATTGTCAAATTCAATTATTTGGTCAACTAACGGCCAAACTAACAGAAACTGTCAATTTGGACTTCACATATGATATTTTGAAAGATTTGGTACCGTGAGTAGCACAAATAAAATGTTTGGATAAAATATGCTACTCAATGGAAGATTTAGTACCGTTGCTGCTATTATCCCTAATAATTATTGTGTTCATTTGAACACATCAAGTTATAACTGAACTTCATGAAACATAACGGCTGTCTGACTGGAAAAATATTAATTAGAACTTGTCAAATCATCATCTCATTTAAGAATTTAATTAGTATAAAGATAATATATTTAGCCCATGTTCGTGTCATATTAAAATTTTCATTTTCATTCTTGTACTCATTTTCAACCACACATTTTTCAATAAAATAATATTTTTGTTACATTAATAATTTTTCCTTCTTTTTCAACCACACATTCATCATCAATCTACTATTTCAAAATATATTCTTCCAAAATAATGTGGTTCAAACACATTATTTACTCAAATTTAATTTTCAATCGTGCCTCATTTACATGTTGAATACATTTGAAGTTCAATACTCGCAAAAATTTTATTCTTCGACGAGACTTGATATTGAGACTTTTGCACTATTTCGATATCTAGTTGAATATGCTTAAAATTACAAAAACGCTACAAGTACAGGATATTTGCACCGAACTGTTACAGGAATTTAAAATTGAATACGTGGCAAGAAAAGTCCCTAAAAATCGGTTTAGCTCAAAATGGACCAAACCGGTTTGGTGATAACCTGCAAAACCGATCACTGTGTGCCCCAAATCAGTGCATTTCATTCTACAGCCCCTTTCCTTGCCTCTCAATCTCAAATCCGGTAGCCACACCAACAAAATTCTGGCAGCCACGCCAACAAAATTCTGGGAGCTACAAGACCCAAAATCCGACAGCCACAAGACCAAAAAATTCGACAACCACAAGACCAAGATTTGGAAGGAGGAGCAGTGATTTCGCACCCGGAATTTTTCCCCAAAACTGTAGTATATCCTCCCCCCAACACTCGTTCACCTCCAGCCACACAATTTCTCCATCTCCTTCCTCCAACACCTTCGACCCACCCCGTTGTTGACAGGGGTCACCGCCGTCCATCGCCAAGCCGTCCACTTCCCAAGGTAATCGTGTGACTTAAGTCTTTAGGTTTTAGTTTGTGCGTTGATTTTATCATGATCTATGAACAATTAGTTATGGTGCAAATTGTACATGTAGCGTTTTTGATATACAATTTCTATTTTATTGTGTCTCTCCAGTTCTTCCGCTTTTCTTCGCCTTATATCCCTTTTGTTTTCGTTTGCCAATATCTTCCTTGACTTGATATTGAGACTTTTGCACTGTTTTGATATCTAGTTGAATATGCTTAAAATTACAAAAACGCTACAAGTACAGGATATTTGCACCGAACTGTTACAGGAATTTAAAATTGAATACGTGGCAAGAAAAGTCCCTAAAAATCGGTTTAGCTCAAAATGGACCAAACCAGTTTGGTGATAACCTGCAAAACCGATCACTGTGTGCCCCAAATCAGTGCATTTCATTCTACAGCCCCTTTCCTTGCCTCTCGTTCCTTGCCTCTTGATCTCAAATCCGGTAGCCACACCAACAAAATTCCGACAGCCACGCCAACAAAATTCTAGGAGCTACAAGACCCAAAATCCGACAGCCACAAGACCAAAAAATTCGACAACCACAAGACCAAGATTTGGAAGGAGCAGTGATTTCGCACCGGAATTTTTCCCCAAAACCGTAGTATATCCTCCCCCCAACACTCGTTCACCTCCAGCCACACAATTTCTCCATCTCCTCCCTCCAACACCTTCGACCCATCCCGTTGTTGACAGGGGTCACCGCCGTCCGTCGCCAAGCCGTCCACTTCCCAAGGTAATCGTGTGACTTAAGTCTTTAGGGTTTAGTTTGTGCGTTGATTTTATCATGATCTATGAACAATTAGTTATGGTGCAAATTGTACATGTAGCGTTTTTGATATACAATTTCTATTTTATTGTGTCTCTCCAGTTCTTCTGCTTTTCTTCGCCTTATATCCCTTCACAAAAGCAAACGGTTATAGAAGGATTCTTCTTCGGGGTCAATCTGTTAGCATTGGAATAAGTATACATACTCAAGATGGTGAATGGTTGCATCCCAGATGTTTAGCAGTATAATTGGGTTAAAATCATGAATCGGTAAAAAATATAGAATTGCTTCATTTTAGGATTCCAACCTTTTTTTTTGTTTCAAACGAAGTTAATCAACTATCATTGTTGTTGCAGTTTAAACATTTACCAACATGGCTAATATAAAATAAAAAATGTGTGTGCTAGAATTAATATGGGTTTAGTTAATTAAGCAGTGCAATTATTATTGAAGTGTGAATAAGAAAAAAACGTAATTATTTGCTTTCTGCAACGTGGGACTTCATATTTCACTAGCATTAATATGGGTTTGTTTGTTTCATCAACAGTTGTCGATTAGAATGAGAGAAAGGAGTTTTGGAGTTTGCCACAGTTGTAGAAGTGACACTCACTACTTCTCACAATGCAAAACAATACGTAGATGCTCGGAGTGTAAACACGGATTTCGGAAATGTTTCGAGGTCGAAAGAGATACTGTAAACAAAGGAAAATTGTTCTTCACGTGTAGTAATGACTGTGGATATTTTGACTGGGTGAAAAAAGAAGATTTCAACGGGGAATCGAGTACCGTTAATGAAGTAGTGAATCATGAGCCGAACGAGGAAGACGAAAACTTTCCAAGCATATTTGACAGTCTAGCCCGAATAACCGAGAAACGAGATGTCGAAATATCATTGCACTTAACGTTTCGCAAAGGAAAAGGAATTGCCGAATGTGATGGGAAAGGAAAGGGATCGACTTGAATGGGTGATAAGATTTAAATGTGGTGGATAGAGTACTATGGCGTCATTTTGTATTTGCTATATGGTTTGTGGTAACGTACGAACTTGTTGGTCATAGTATTGTTAGGGTCGGTTACTACGCCGACATAACTATGTTTTAATATATTATGTTGAACTATTTCACCGTCGAATGTTTATTCCCCTTTTGATAGTCAGGGGTCGACTTTTATATGAAAAATGTGCTATATGGTTGATGGAAATTTGCAGCATTAATTGCTATGTATATGCTTTTATGTGGTTAAAGACATGGTGATTTTGGTTTACAAGAAACAAAACAAAAAGAAAGAATAAACTTATCATTCAATGGTATCTGGTGCACTGCTTGGAATTCAACATTTGTCACCTAGCAAAATAATAATTTTCACCTTCATAAATTGGAAGCCATACACATACAATAATCAACATCCAAGAATTCCTAATATTAATGTGAATTCTATTTTAGAAACTGAAGCCATCACGTTCCAGATGATCAAAATAAAAATTTCCACCTCCATAAACTGGAAGCCATACAATAATCAAGATCCAAGAATTCCTAATATTAATGTGAATTCTATTTTGGAAACTGCGGGAATCACCTTCCAGCATAGCAAAATAAAAATTTCCACCTCCATAAACTAGAAGACATGAACAGCAGATATGGCTCTTCTCTCAGTCAATACCGTCCAAGCTATAATCACAAGCATGTGCCACCTTGATCGGGGAAATTTTGATAATAGTATGGCATCACATCACCTAATCCACAGGACAGAGAGTTAGGAAATGCTTAAATTAAATGATGAATCGTACGTTATTATGAAATTTATTTGTACTTACCTGGAGCGTTCATAATTCCATTCGTAACCGCCGGACCGATGAAGGTTGAATACGGCAAGTGTTCTGTGACGGCTTCGTTAGCATTGTCACCCCGTATGAAAAACATAATGTTTAACAAGTAAAACCAGTTAAATAGTTTAGGTGTTAGGATATACTAACAACCATTAGGTGTTGTGAGTACGAGAACGGTGTCGGCATAGAACATTGCGATAGTCAAGATTCGTGAACGTTGGTTGCAGCCACGTCCGTAGTACTAGGCCTAGCCATTTTCCTCTTCCCTTTGTTCGAAGTTGATGTGGACTGCATTTTCATCCACTTGAATCAGAACTCGAACTTCAATTCCCAACCAGTCATAATTCACGGCGACCCTCGTATGTGCTCTACTGACATCTCGCCTCCATCTCCTTAAAATATACCTATCAGGCATCGACGTGATGTCATTACGGATTAAGACTGTGATCGCATGTCTGCAAATGATTCCTCAAAATTCAAACAGGTGGCAACTACATACTACTTCAAGCATATCCCTCCGAAATGAAACACAAAATGTCTTTTTCTTCCGGTGTTCGTGATGTACGACATGTTCTCGGACCTCATAAGTCATCCAAAAACGTTCTTCCTTCTCGGATAAGACATCGCAATATACCTTCCCAGTGAACTCATTTTGAACTTCCCTGAACTTGAAAATGGTGTATACTGCCTGAAATTGTTTTTTCATTTCAAAAGTTGTTGCACATGGTATCATTTGGGAAAATGACTTGAAATCAGCGTGAAACTCCTTTTCAACCTTGTTCCTCAATGCTTTTTCATATTGTTCGACGAACTGCTTCAATGACGTCTTCGAATACACATATCCATCAAAAAATGCATTCATACTCTCACTTTGTTGTGTTGTCGACATCCCTGCCCAAAAAGTGGTTCTTAAAAAGCAAGACACCCAACGACCTCTGTTAATGTATAATCCCGACAACCAGTCATTACCATGCAAGTCATACGTATCGAGCATTACCCTCCAACCTTCCTCGAATTCTTCAACAAATTGTGAATCGTATACTAATGTGTGTATAGCAAAAAATATCGAGCCCTTTTAGACATGGTAGCCAAACTTTTCTGGTATTTTCTTCAGAATGTGCCACAGACACCATCTATGTTTTATATTTGGAAAAACAATCTCAATTGCATTTTGCATTACCCTGTCTTGATCAGTAAGTATTCCATTTGGAGCTTTACCATACATGCACTGAAGCTATGTCTTGAACAACCAAACAAAAGTTCACGTATCCTCATTCGATAACAATCCACAACCAAGCAGCGTTGATTGTCCATGATGATTTACACCAACAAAAAGGGCGAATGGCATGTCATACTTATTAGTGAGATACCTAGTATCGAAAGTGACAACATCACCAAACTCCTTGTAAGACTGCCAACATCTATAATCTGCCCAGAATACATTCTTCAGTCGAGATTCCTCGTCTAAATCCATGCTAAAGTAAAATCCTGAGCACCTTGCTTGCATCTTTGAAAAGTACGACTATATAGCAATGGCATCTCCTTCTCCAAGTCGTAATCGTCTGACTTGTTCGATACAATTCCGACAATCCTTCTCCACAAACGTCATATTTTCATATCCACCGGCTGCCACAACCTCAGAGTTAAAACTCTTGTGCAAAGGGATTCCTGCCATATCATTCACTTCAAGTTTTCGTTTCGCACTCGTAGTCAATTTTCGATTGCATCAAAACAATCGTGACTTTGAATGACTTGTTTTATGATTGTGTTCGAGGCATACTTTGTTAATTCTCCATATTCCACAACTATCTAAAGATGCAGAAATTCTTGCTTTACAATCTATTTGACTTGTTGCTTGCAGCTTCAAGGAACCACCCGTAGCATAATTTCTTCGACCTTCACGACTGCATGTGAATGTGACATATCTCATAACTCCATCGTCTGCCCTTTTCGAATTTCATTTCTTCACAGGAAAACCTACGGCATAAGCATATCTTTTGTACAAATCCAACATTTCTTTCTCACTATTAAATATCATACCCACCTCAGGCTCAGTTGCAACATCTCCTCCTACATTTTCATTCTCCAATGTGTTCTCGTTATCACATTCCAACAACATATCATGATTCTCACCTCCTACAATTTCTTTTCCTGCAACAATATTTCTATTTTTGTTAGAAGTTGCAAAGTTATTATAACTAAGAGCATAACTCTGCCTATAAATAATCAACTAACCTATAAATAATCATGTATATTTCTCGAAATTTGAAAATGTATCAGCTAAACTATTAATAATCAGACGCCCAAATGAACATAAATTGAATGAGAAATATATTTTATTCACAATGGAAAATCACAGATTCTACACTCTGGAAACCAATTCAAGCAATAAACCAATTCATTTGCAGCAAGGCCAATTCCAAACCAAGAAGTAGTATACCTTTGTCGGTCATCTGTAACGATAGTCGGTAGGTTTTCAGGCCCAATTTTGATGTTGGGTTTAAGTGGACTTTCGTTCCGAAAAGGACCCATGACTGTCTGGGTCGAATGTGTTGGGGGAAAGAGATGGAGAAACAACTAAGACCGGAGATGGAGATAGACGTCTTCAATGGCAGGAGGTGAACGAGTGTTGGGGGGAGGATACGGTTTTGGGGAAAAATTATGGGTGCGAAATCACTGCTCCTCCTTCCAAATCTTGGTCTTGTGGCTGTCGAATTATTTATCTTGTGGCTGTCGAATTTTGGGTCTTGTAGCTCCCAGAATTTTGTTGGCGTGGCTGCCGGAATTTTGTTGGTGTGGCTACCAGATTTGAGATCGAGAGAAAGGAACAAGAGTCAAGGAAAGGGGTTGTAGAATGAAATGCACTGATTTGGGGCACACAGTGATCGGTTTTGCAGGTTATCACCAAACCGGTTTGGTCCATTTTGAGCTAAACCGATTTTTTGGGACTTTTCTTGCCACATATTCAATTTTAAATTCCTGTAACAGTTTGGTGCAAATATCCTGTACTTGTAGCATTTTTGTTGAAAGTTAATGCCATTTGCTTACTGTTTGTTCAAGTCATAAAGGCTGATTTTTTTTTTTTGGATACGCTACTGCAGTAAATACGCATTTGTTGTAGAGGGGTTGCTTTCAGATTTTTTGAAGAAAAACCAGAGAGTGAATCTACACGAGAAAGTGGGAGGAAAATATGAGGGGAATTGAGGGGTCTTTCTTTTGATCTATTTACAGAGACAAGAACTTTGAGCCATTTTCCAACATTCTCGTCGAACTATTTTGTTGTAGCAGTCTATCTAGGATTCTCTTCCGGTGTCTTCTCTTTACTTGGGAGTCTATCTTATATTTTTTTATTGTCTTCTTTTGAGTTTCTTATTCTTCCTTTGCATTGGAATGTCTCCGAAATTAATGTTCAAGGTTGAGTCTTTGGAATTTTGGCTATTGAATCTCTTCTGGGTTTTCTTCCTTTTGTAATTCGGAGAAAAATTCACTGGAATTTCACACACTGAACCCTGAAATCCGTGGTATTTTGTACCAAATTTATCTTGTGTTAGGTCATAGTTTCAACCCTCGTCTCATCCGAACTAAATCTTCAAGAAAGGTCGAACTTTTGGTTTTCTTGATCTAGTCCAGTATTCATTATTTTTTAAAAATAATTACAATTCTTTTTTCAGCCGAAAATTCTGGTCTCTGTATTTGAATGTTTGCTCAAAGAAAACGCTCCGTGACTTTCCCTCCTTAAGCTGGGTTGAAAGCTAAGGTTTATTCTGGTGGAAGCTTTTAGTGTTGATTCCTTTTGCTTTCTGGAATTGGGGTTTGAAACAGAGTCATCTTTTTCTGGGGTTTGCTGTTAGGTGGCCTAAACCACCACTTTCTTCGTTCTTCGTTTTGCCATGAGTGTCTTCTTTCTGAAAATATCTCTCCGATTGATTTTTTGTCAAAAAATGTTCATGCATCTCTCATTATGGAAGCCATTATCTCATTGTGCTGCTCTAATCTTGGACAAAAAGAGCAGAAGAAGAGATGGGTCTAACCATTCAACAGAGGAAATCAAGAGGAACCCATAAATTCTTAGAAAATTGCAAGAGCACAAGCTCAGAGAGACATGGACGCTGAATTCATGGCCAATGAAGATGAGAGCTTGGGCAGATAGCGGACACTTGCCTGGTTAAATGCCCAGAAAGAATTTTTGAGATCCACTGCTCTTGCTGCTGAGCGCACATTTCACTCTACAGATTCGATTCCGCAGCTCCAGGAGGCCTTCTCCAAGTTCCTCACTATGTACCCAAAGTACCAGTCATCCGAGAGGATTGATCAGCTGAGGTTGGACAAGTATTCACACCTCTCTACTGTGGGTTCAAAGGTATGCCTTAATTATTGTGGATTTTGGGTGTTTTCATTGCTGCAAACTGTTCACTATTGGGAATCATCTACATTTAGTTTGTCTGAGATTACTGCCCATTTGAGCAATCAAGCTTTGTATGGGGGTGTTGAGAAAGGGACGGACGGTGGAACATGATATAAAGAGTCGAATAATGGATTATTTAAACATCCCCGAGAATGAATATGGCCTTGTTTTTACTATGAGCCGTGGCTCAGCATTTAAATTGCTAGCTGAATCATACCCTTTTCACAAGAACAAAAGGTTGTTGACCATGTTTGATCATGAGAGCCAGTCAGTAAATTGGATGGCTCAAAGTGCTAGAGAGAAAGGTGCTAAGGTTCATAGTGCATGGTTTATATAGCTTACTCTTAAACTCTGTTCAACTGATCTGAGGAAGCAAATTTCGAACAAAAAAAAGAGGAAGAATGATTTAGTTGCTGGCCTTTTTGTGTTTCCTGTCCAATCTAGAGTTACTGGTGCGAAATACTTGTATCAGTGGATAGCCCTGGCTCAACAGAACAAGTGGCATGTCTTACTTGATGCAGGGGCATTGGGCCCAAAGGACATGGATTCCCTTGGTTTATCTTTGTTCCGGCCAGATTTCATCATCACATCATTTTATAGGGTGTTTGGCTATGACCCCACTGGATTTGGATGTCTTCTAATCAAGAAATCTGTGATGGGAAGCCTACAGGATCAGTCAAACGATGCTGGTTCTGGTATGGTTAAAATCACTCCCATGTTTCCGCTGTACTTCACTGTACTTGAGTATTCAATGGACAATTTCCTTGGATTTGGTAAAGATGAGGAAGTCAGTAGGAATGCTGAAGTTAACTCTGAAACTCGCCCACAATCTCAATTACCTACCTTTTCTGGTGCATTCACTTCTGTACAGGTGATGGATGTATTTAAGACTGAGATGGAGCATGATAACAGTTCAGATAGGGATGGGGCAAGCGCCATATTTGAAGAAACTGAGAGTATTTCTATTGGGGAGGTGATGAAAAGCCCGGTATTCAGTGAAGATGAATCGTCAGATAACCCGCTGTGGATTGATTTGGGTCATAGTCCTTTAGGGTCAGAAAATGCTGGTCATTCAAGCAAATGCAATGCAGCATCTCCCTCGCCACCAGTTTGGTTCTCTGGTCGGAAAAATAATAGGCGGACTTCTCCAAAAGCCAGCTCGATGTATGACAAGGAATTGAACCAAGGACATGTTGAAGATAGCTATGTGTTATCATTTGACGCTGCTATTCGATCAGTCTCTCAAGATTTGGACCATTTCAAGGAGATTCCCAAAGATGAACAATTTACTCCAAGAGACTGTGAATGTAAGACTCCAAATAACCAACCTTTTCACGAAATTGAAAAAGAACCCGAAACCAACAAATCAATGGGTTCTTCCTTTAAGGGATCAGGCCACAACAACATGAATCATCGAAGCGTACAGAATGGCTCAACTTCTGAGATATGCTCTGAGCCAAATGAGACTGCAATAAGAAGAGAGATAGAAGGTGAATTTAGACTACTAGAAATGAGATAATAAATAGAACTGCTGGTGACAGATTTTTTGGAATAGAAGAGACTGAGCATTTGGGAAGCAGAGGAAGAAGGGTATCCTTTAGTACTAAAGGCAAGAGTAAAGCTCGTATGGGCCACACTTTTAAGACAGGAGAAGTATTAACCACGAGCCTGGATGATGATGATTACATTTGCAATGGGAAATATGATGATGATGGGCAAGACTCCAACAGAAATGAGCCCGAGATTATTTGCAGGCATCTTGATCACATAAATATGTTAGGTCTCAACAAGACTGCCTCCCGACTGAGGTACCTCATCAATTGGCTTGTGACATCTTTGCTGCAATTAAGATTGCCTGGTTCACATGGAAAGGACAGTCCACTGCTTGTTCATATTTATGGGCCGAAGATTAAATATAAAAGAGGTGCAGCAGTTGCCTTCAATGTGAGGGACATGAACCATGGTCTAATTAATCCGGAAATTGTTCAGAAGCTAGCTGAGTCACATGGTATCTCTCTTGGTGTTGGAATATTGAGTCACTTACGCATTCTCGATAGTTTCAAAGGGCGACTTGGTGAGTCTTGATGATACTACCCTTTGCAAGCCAATGGAAAATGGCAGACATGACGGTAAAAGTGAATTTATCATAGTCGAGGTCGTGACTGCTTTTCTTAGCTTTTTGACTAGATGTCTACAAGTTGTGGGCATTTGTGGCTAAATTTCTTGACCCGACCTTTGTCAAAGAGGGGGCGTCCTTCCAACTGCTATAGAAAAATAAGAATAACTAGGCTTGGAGCTGGCATTATTGCTTTTATCCACTCGACCCATTTGTACAATCGGATGATGCAGAGATGATTGCTAATCTAAGGGCAAAACTGGATCAAGTGCATGGACGGATATGTTTTAGCTGGATTCTTTTTGCCCCACTTGTCCCTTTGCTGCAAGTGGGTGAATTTGTACATTCTTATTTTTCACAATCATGCTACATGTACAAATTTATTTGACAATATTGGTGGACAACTCACACTTGACAACATCATGTTCATCCATTTCAAAAACTATTTTTTAAATCAATGTTCTGGATTTTAGCAACACCAACGTTATCAACCATTGTTGTCACGTATGATTGTACAAATAGTATAATTGTGTTTTTAATTGCTTGGATTTTCTCCTTCGACCTCTTACGTTGCATGTGGGTCCCGACCTGAATTAAATAATGTCGATCTCTCCATGTGTGTGTTGTGTCATTCCCTATGTTAAGCATTATGTTTGTGTAGCAAAACTCAACCTGTATCATTTCAGATAGTAATTATGAACTATAACTGATACAGATGCACGAGATGTCTCTACATCATCCTCATGTTCTTAAAGGGAGTGCTTTCTGCTGTATAAATAAGTATTTTTCTTGTTTCGGGCTATTACACATTTTGTCTTGTTCAATTCTCTCAAGTTTTTGCCCAAAAAAAAAAAAAAAAAACACCCATAAATTATCGATCAAGAGATGATAAAAGAGTGTTCCATCTTTTTCTCTCAATTCTGATCAAATTCAAAATGGCTTGAAAACGTCTCAATGAAATATGAAATATCATAAATTCATTATCTATACATTATAAATGAATAATGAAAACAACTCAATTCAAAACTATGCAGTATTTTTAAATAAAAAGGAAAGGCCCATGTTGATATTAAGCACAAAGCAACGAACCTGTCGCGAGGAGGGGGAAAAAAAGAAGCAATACTCAAGTAAATCAGGGGAAATTTGTCTAAAGAACCAGAATCAGAAAAATACTCGTTCAAATACATTGGACCGACAAGACTCCTTATATGGAGATTACCTTGGCATAGGACAAGATTCTGCAAGCCTTGCATTAATCTTTTTTAGTAGTTGATAACTTGATACATTTCCATAAATTGCATGTGTCAAAAGATAAAATCACTAGATTCAAGTCAAGAAAAACATATCCATGAATCCGAAGTCTTGATGGGAAGTAGTTCCCATTGATCTTGTACATGGAAAGTTGTAAAATTACATGTGAAAACATTTAAGAATTATGCTATTTATCATTGTAATGATGGAATATCGGTGATGTAGCGGTTTATGTGGAATAATGAGATTAGGCCTTTCAATTTTTATGAGAGAGGAGGGGAGGAAAGAGAAAGGGATGTGAGGGATAATGAGTTGTCACGTCACTAATATTCAATTATCATGATAATAAATAACATTACTCAATATTTAATTAGTATCTACAAGGTGGGTTTGATTAGGGATGGTAAAAAATTTCGTCGGCTCGGACTCGACTCGGAAAAAGCCCGAGCCAAGCAGGAACCGAGCCCCATTTTGGGGCATCGGCTCGAGCCTGCCCGGCCAGAATTTTTTTTAAAAAAGAAAAAGTTAAAAAAAAATTAAAGTCACGAATTTTTTTTTTAAATAATAATAAAAACAAATTGAGCCGGCTTGGCTCATAAAGGCCCGAGCTGAAGGCACAAATCGAGCCTAAAATTTTTGGCCAAGCTTTTGCTCGACTCGAGCCCCAAAAAGTTTGGACCTGTTTTGCTCGAGTCGAGCCCGAGGCTTGTTGACATAGCTAGGTTTGATTATGTATTTCTTTAGTTTCTATCTTTTTAAATACATTCCCTTCTTTTACGTAAAGTGTCTTAAATATATATTCTTGAGAATGCTTCTTCCTTTTCAAAGGGTACCATTATTTTTATTCACAAATTTTATATATCTATCCCACTATAAGTTCATGAAAAATGAAGAAAGTACAGGGAAATTTATACAGAAATTTGAATTCTCAGTCACATGGTGTGGGCCCCATGTATTAAATATTGGAAAAAAAATGTTGCTCCCGCCTTTGGCTGTGTCCTATAGCATGGTTGTAAGTTCATCCCTACTAAAATTTAAAATTTTATAAAAAGTGTTATATTCATCAACGTTCATACCATTATTAACTTTATTAAATTCATTCATTTAAAACCTATATATCCACTTTATTTTTATATATTCATCCCTCTAAATCCATCTCAATTGTAATTTTAAAAATTACTAAATTTATTCCAAAATCTAAGATTGCCTCTTGCCCTCCATCTAACAGTGCCCCTAGCCCAAACATGAAACAATGATACCTTCTGAAGTCGAGCAAAAGTTGGTGCTGGTCCAAAATACCAATGGCAATCCAAAGGTCATGCTCAATACTCATGATGATGGAATTACATCTGGTGAAAAGTGAGAATTAAATGTGCAAACAAGAAACCTTCTGATTCTGAAGAGTTTAGAATGAGTGTTATAACTCTTGGGTCAAATTGAAGAGTCTTATTTAGATTTAATAGTCACCCACGTACATGTATAAGAGGTTTGAAAGAACTTGGTATTTGATTTTGGATGGATTGTTACCCTAAGCATTTGTTTCGCTAGAAGTAAAGCCAAAAAAACACTAACAGTCTCAACATTTTAAACAAAACATACATTTCCCGTATACCTTAAGTTTTTTTTTAAAAAAAAAATCAGAAGCATTTATCTTTGAAAATTGAATAAGGAACATAAGGCATAGTATTAGAGATATTGTATTTATTAAGCAAATTACAGTAAAGAAAAATCTAGAAAAACTATATCCTTTTTGTAATTTCCCTAAAAAATTATAGAAATGAGTAGCACACAATGAATGAAAATAATTAGGAGTTTCTGTAATTAAAAAATCAGAAGAAACTCACAGAGAGAAATAGATGGTCTTTCCATTTTCTTAGCATCAACTGCCAAAGGTCTTTGCACATTCTACTGAAAGCTTTGTACCTTGTGATACTTTTCCTATCTCTATTCCCAAATTTATCATTTTAAAAATAGAATTGTGGGATTTTATTTAGTTTCATTATGGTCCATTTAAGCGATTTACTTAATGTTAGAAATGTAATATATAAATTTATTTGTTTTTTAAAATGGATGTATATATAAAAATTGTGGATGGAAATAACGACGTCCTTTTCAAATTAGTAAAATGTACTCCAACTCAGTGAAATTCCTGACTTCTCATCTGTTTATTTTATTTTATTTTTTTATTTTATTGTAATTCTTTTGAAATTATACGTGCAACGCATGTTTGCTTAGTTTATATTTATAGTTTTGTTTAAGAATTAATTTGTTATCAATAAAGATGTAATTTTTTTTTGGTTAATTAAGGGCGTGCCTGGGAACGCTACAAGGAGGAAGGAAAATTGATTATGTTACCTTTTTTTTCAAACCTACAGTCTTACAGTGAGAGAATTGGTCCAAAATTGCGGCTCCCAACGACATGAATTGTGCTGTCAACGGCTTGATTTCTGCTGAAAAGCAGAAACAGACACCATCTAAATAATTAATGAAGTAATGTTTATGTAATTGATAAATAATTAGATGTGTGATTTTGATGTTGTGATGTAGGTTGGTGAGATTGAAGAAAATAAGCAAAAGTTGACAAATTTGGAGAAATGGCTAAATTGTAAGGGATTTAAAGTCGGGGGACTAAAATGTAAATACTTAAAAGCTGTTCCGAATCTCACGATGAAGATTTGATAGTACTCGGAATCAATTGGATAAAGGAAGACGTCAAGATGATCAAATTTAGTCAAAAGATGATCACAAATCAATTTTCAACCGAAAAATTATGCTCCNGAATACAAAGTTATGATAAAAATACTGAAAGAAGGTGTAGCTGCCTGTTTAAAACAAGAAATTCCGTTACATAGTCCGTTAAAACAACAAATTCCGTTAGTTTTTCCGTTAAAAACAAGAAATTTCGTTACATAACCACTTTTAATATATAAAAGATATAAAACCCAATCAATGAATGAATAAAGAGTCGACTAATTATTTTCTACAAACACGTGTTTGTCGTGAGAGGTCAGAATTTTCACTTATTCTTTTGGTATTTTCTTTAATTCAAAGATATCAAGGGACTAATTCAGGATCGGACTAAAAAAAATTTAAATCGAACTCATATGTAATTTTTTTTATCCAACAAAAATTGAAATAGGCTAGGGCCTCGAGTGATTGAAGAACAATTTATGCTCGTATAATAATCCTCTTGCACAACTCAATGCAAGGTTCCTAAAAATGCTAGGCATGACAATGTTGATGAGGTTAGATATCTAAGCCTTGCGAGATATTTTTTCTTGTTTTCCATACTGCTTTAATTATGTAAGATTATTTATAATTCTTCCATTTATTTAACTTTAAGAACATTGGAAAAAAAATAAAATAAAAATAAAAGGAGCATTTTTTGGCACTTAAGTCTGCATTAAAATAACCTCCAAGAGACTATCTATTTTAACCTTTTAAAATAGAGAGTTGTTTTGACTCTTTAAATTTAGAGAGTCAAACTCACTGTCTATTCTTAATTTGCAATGATTATATTTAATAAATTACAAATTTCAATACTCTACTTAAACTATTCAACACATTTAAATTAATTGATCATTAACATATAAAAAATTATTTTAAATAAAATATGAAGAGAAATTAATAAATATTTCTTTAAAAAAGCAAAATGAAGAGTCAAGATAGAGAACGCTGTTGCAGTACATAAAAATTGAATCTCTAAATTTAAAAATATTCTCTATAATAAATAAGATACTCTTTTTAATATGTTATCTTATTTAATGGTCATTATTTCGTAAAAGAAGTAATGTTTTGAATAGTGCAAAAAAATTTGGATTTACGTACTCAATATTTTATTGTGTAAATATATGATTGAAAATGAATATAAAAATTAAATTATTTTATTTTATTTTAAAGGGAGACAAACACGTGCTTAGTTAAGTAGAGAACTAGAAATTCCAGCCAATACTACCATTGAGTTGTCTAGTAAAAGCTTAGATAATTAAGATTGGATTTAGCCTCCGGTCATTTGTTTTTAGGTAGAATGAGCTTTTTAATACTAATAAGATGTGTGATTAAAAATTGATTAAATTAAGTAAAGTTTGGAAGTATGATTGTCAGTCGTCAGACAGGGGCTGTTAGAAGCTCGGCCAAAAGATTTTCCGCTTATCAATAAATTTGCCCTCCTTCAACAGTTGATATCGTGCACCTCTGAAAATCTCTTTCTTGGAAAGCCAATGGCCAGGAAACCAAAACCAAAACCTTCTTTCTTCAAGGTCTTGATCGGCAACTTCACTCCCCGATTGGTAATCTCTCTCTCGCTCTCTGCATGTACTTCTTTTTGTGCTTTTGGAGGGGACTTATGGGGTGGGGTGGGGTGGGGTGGGGTGGAGGGTGTTGTTTACAAGATTTTAAGTAATGAAAATTGAGGTCTCGTGCACGTATAAACGAATGCCTGTTGAATTTCCTGTATGTGTAGCGATTGCCGGCTCTGTTTGTGTTGAATTATGGCGAAATATTGCCTGAAAATGTCACTCTCAAGATCGACAGTGGAAAATCGTGGAATGTGAAATTAGAACAAGACGAGGGGCAACATTATTTTACCCAAGGATGGGTCGAATTTGTTGAAGATCTTGACCTGAAAATGGGGACATTTCTAGTATTCCGGGTTGTTGATAACTGGACCGTTAATGTCTTAGTATATGGATTAAGTGGCTGTGAAATGGAATTTGAAGGTGGTGAAAGCCAGACTAACGACTCTGAACTTGAAGAAGTGCCCCTTCGACGCTCTGCACGCAGTTTGCTTTCTTCATTACTTTTTATATTTAACTATGTGCATGATTGTTTAATACGAGTAAAGCAGTTGTTGATTTTTGGTTCATGTAAACAGATGCAAAGGGGAAACAACCAGTCTACGCTCTGAAGAAAGAGGCTTGGACTATTTGCGATCATAAACCTGAAGGTTCTGCCGAAACAACGAACCCACAATTCTGTGTAACTCTGAAGGAACATCATCGATATAGACTGGTACAAACTATTCACTGACTGGCCCTCGTAATCTTTTGGCCATTTTTTTGTTTAGAAAGCTTTTGGATCTTACATTTGCTCTTCCTCTTAATTTTAGACCCTTTATAAGGAATTTGCTACTGAGACTGAATTAGTTTACAAAAAAGCCGTGGTATTGGAGGATCCACAAGGGCGTTATTGGCCTGTTGCACTGCACTGGCCAAAGGCAAGATGGTTTAAGCTTGAAATGACTACCGGCTGGTCAGAATTACGTAAAGCAAATAGATTAGCCTTTGGGGACACCTGCTCGTTCGAGTTCATTCCTAGTAAGAATGTTATTCGGGTTACGGTGATCAAGCATGAAATCAGCTAGAAAATGTTTAATCCTTTTGTTATTGCCTTGAATCCTTAGTAGTTTTAACAACAGCAGATGCTGTCTACTGCACCTGTGTAATATGCCAAGGGCAAAACGTTGTCTCTTTGTTTCTGCTGTATTTTCAAATGGGATGATTTCCGTACAATATCTGTAGCATATTTGCATAAACCTGATATTCCCTCACAATCATGCAATTTCGAACATGTCATCTTACTAGAGCTATTATCTACTATGTATACAATTAGTGCACAACTTGGTAAGCAATTTTAGATGGAACTCTACAGTACAATTAATAAAAATTCTTTATTTGACCATTCTGTATACCTAATTACCTTAGCAAATGTGCCAGTAGAATCGTAAAATTAAATTCTCGTCCTGTCAATTTTAGCAGTGTACATGTACTATCAGTAGTTTCTCCGTTGGCTCACTCTGCTACCTTGTGAAGAGAGGCTATGAATTGAAGGAAATGTCTGTGGTGCATTAAAATGCTCCACCTTATGCGGCTGTTGCGGTACTGGTGGTTGCATGGGCATCGCCATAGCCGACACCCTCCATATCTTTACTGACTTGTCGAGGCTGCCACTGTACACAATGTGCGACTTATCACTGGCTGTTGCGGCCTTATCTTCCTCCACTGCCAAGCATTTTACTGGTCCCGTATGCCCACTCAACACCGATAAACATACATGATCACCTTCTTCCTTTCTCCATACACAAATATTTGTATCAGCCGATCCACTGAAAACTAAATTCCCAGCCGTGGCTAAGCACAAAACCGCCAGTTTATGGCCCCTCAAAACGCCACCATGAGATAGAAGCTTATCGTTTTCCCAGAAATTAACCAGCCCGTCTGATGATCCACAGTACAAGACAGTAGCTGACAGGTGTACAGCCAAGGCTGTTACTGCACATTCTTGTTTCAATAATGTTTGTGAAAAGAAATGTTTTGTTCCTTTTCCTTGCATTTCTCTTCGCCATACTTTGACAGATCCATCGGCTGAACCTGTGAAAACCAGCCCATCAAACCCGGAAACAACCGAATTTACTGCATCATCGTGTGCGTTGATTGATTCCAAGCACTTGGAATCTGAAACTCTCCAGACCTTAAAAGTTTTGTCCCATGAAGCTGAATACAGAAGGGATTTGTCTTCGTTTAAGGTCAGAGATGAAATTGCATCAAAATGTTTGATCCAAACAGAATTGCGGTGCCTTCTAACCGCAACGTAATTGCTGGGTTTGAAAGAACTTTTTATACAAGCTTTCAATGTTGGTAATGAACCAATGCGTTTATGAATGCTAGGATCTTTCCCAGATACCTTCCAGACCCGAATTTTACCATCTTGGTGACCCGTGAAAATCCTATCCCCAGCAATAATAATAGCCTTAACCAAACCACTGTTTGATTTGAATCCAGAAAACTCTTTCTGGTTCTTCCAAACCCGAATGTTCTTGCTATCTGAACCCGTATACAACAAGTCCCCTGAAGCAGCCAATGAATAAATATGGCCTTCTTCACGAACGAGGGACCCCATTAAGCCTGTGTAAGAATAATTTTCATGGTTCCCTGACACAACATGAGAGGACCATGGGGATTTCGACAATGGAGACGATGATTGAGATTGGTCCCAAGAAGAGGCTGGAAATGAAGAATCCAAAGAGGGTCCTGAAAATGGAGGGGATTGTTCAAATGATGTGTTGTACGGGGAGCTATGATCGGAGCCTACAGGATGAAGGTGGTCGTCATATGCCGGGCCGGCTTCCGATATGTTGCTCAGGCGGAAGGAATATTCTTCTTGATCACTTTGATTGGACTGCAAAATCTTCCCATATGCATGTTTTTTCTGGCTGTTTGATTCTGTCACCATATTGCCTGATCTTGAATTCATCACACAACAATGCTTGCATTAAACAATCAAGAAAAAAAAGTATAATCAAATTAAAAATTGAGGAATAAAGAGGAAAACTGAATCCCAAGCAACCGAAAGGAGATGAATGAGAGACAGAGAGAGAACAAAGGTCGGCTCATGTAAAGAAGAAAGGTACGGCCATGAAGATCCTTGAGAAAGTCCTTTCCAAAGGTTGAAATGCAAGCATTACAAATTATTGGAGTACAATTTGTCAAACCCAATCGAACTATTGCAACTAACTACAAATGTTACGTGTAGAGGATGACATTATTTTGTGCACCGATTTCTATTAATTATATTGAAAATGCACTCTCCTGGAAAAAAAAAAGGGGGGAAGAAGGAGAGGTGGAATTGGTGTAATGCTTCGTAGCCTCCTAATTCCTAACCTTTATTTGCGGAAAACATGAGGCAGGTTTGAAACCAGGATTTTCTGTTTTGTACCAAGTTCCTTTGAACAACTTATTTATTTTTAATTTTCGTGTTTATTCATTTAAATGACAATTTAATTTATAATTTATAAAAGTAAACCTTTTGAGCTATCATTGATCTAGTCATTTCAATTTATGCTAATGTAGCATGTTTGATACGTGTACTAAATAATATTAAGTGCTCGTTTGGATAGCTTAAAAAGTTATTTAAAAAATTGAAGTCAAAATCAATAATTAATTTTTAAACACACATTTTATAACTTGAAACTTTTATATCAACTTTTTAATTACATATTTCATCAACTTTCACCAAACAAACTAAAAGAACGAGAAAAACTACGAATGAAGAACCAAAGGATCAAGAGCTCGCATCTTCGGGAGCCAAGCCCCAGCGCAAGGGCTTAGGGACGGTCACTCCTCCATATTGTACCAATTCCAATTTTGAAAAATGGAATAATACCACAATGAACCATGTAAGTGGAAAGCACGTTGGTATAGATAATGGTCTAAGTATTAGAATAGTGGCATGAGATAAACTGAGGCATTACTTCAGGCCAAGTCTTAGTGGGGATCATGTTATCATGGAAGCACTCTGCATAATAAAAACAAGACAAATGAGAGCTCGAATTTATACTTTGCTAAGGACAAATAAATTATGTACATAGAGAGGTACAACACTCAGTGGGATCCCCCCATGTTAGTGTTATGTACACGTTTATGCACATAAATTCTATACAACAAGAATTATCCTATGTAATTTTGGACTATCAATGACCGCTAATGTCCAAATGTGTAGATGACAATTTTATGATAGATGCCTACATGCACAATTGAGCAACATTAGTGCAATGTCCACCGCAGGGCCAAAAGCACTGACGCGTACGTATTGATGGCTCGAACTTGACAGAATCAATATATCTAGTTGATTTCAATTCTTGATAGTTATGCGAACTACCTATTAAAAAAATTGAGATCAAAATTAACAAAATTGGTTTGAACCAAGTTGCAACAACACTAAAATTGACTCAACTCGCCCCATTTTTGGTTAAAAATACATTTTGAAATAATAGATTGATAAAGAATGTGTAATTAAAAAATAAGGAAAAATTTTAAATTTGTATATAATATTATTTTATTAGAGAATACGTGATTGAAAAGAAAAGAGAGTCGAACGTATTTTGAAAATTATGGAAATCAAACAAGGGCTCAATCAATGTAATTTTCAAAGCAATGTATCTAAATAAATTAAGGGTTAAATTCACAAATGACCATCCAACTTTATACTTAGTATCTTCATAGTCACCCAATTTAATTTTGTTTCACTATGACCATCAAATTTTATACTTAGTGTCATCACAATCATCCAATTTGATTTTATTTCACCGATAATCACCCAATTTCATATAACGTTTTATCATGACTATCCAATTTTTTTTTACCATTTTCACTAATTTTAAAAGGGGTAGAACGATAATTTAGAGGATGTTTGATGTAGATTAAAATTAGATTTTTAGTAGATTATGATAAAAGTTTTTTAAGTGGTTGAAAAGATGATTTAGATTAAAATCAGATTTTAATCCGACTCAAACAGGCCCTTAACATTAGATATATAAAATATTTTTTAAAAAACAAAAATAAAATAAAAACTTATTTTAAAAAAAAGGTTACCTAGAAAAATAAAATAAAATAAAATAAAATAAAAGGTTATTTCTAAAAAACGTTCCTTAAAAAAATAAAATAAAATAAAAAATTATTTTAACAAACATTACCTAGAAAAATAAAATAAATATTTTAAAAATACATTCTTAAATAAAAAAAAAAAACTTCATTTTTATTTTTTTTAATTTATTTTTCATATATAATGCAAAGTTATCATTTTACCATTTTAAAATTAGTGAAAATTGTGAAAAGAAATTTGATAACCATGGTGAAACGTTATGAGAAATTGGATGATCATTGTGAAATAAAATATAAAATTGGGTAGTTATAATAAAATAAAATTAAATTAAATGACCTTAATGACGTTAAATATAAAATTGGATCATCATCGTTACTTAACGCCATGATACAATGATATACATTAACTGACAGATATAGTGAAATACATTAACAATTTAAGGGGGTGTTTGATTCTCATTTTTGTCAAAATATATTTGTCTCTTTTCTTTTTAACTATATATTTTTCATTAAAATAATATTACACATAAATTTAAAAAAATTTCATTCTTTTTTAATCATACATTTTTCATCACTTTACTATCTCAAAATATAAACATAGCATTATTCAATAACAACGTCCTGTTTCAAATTGTTAAGGCAGAAAACTCGAGAAGAGGAACCCACTGTATGGGAATTGGGAAGTACTTGAAGAAGTGACAGACAATCAATCAATTTGTTACGTAAACTGTGGGCTGATGGACCCATTTTTTCGGGTCAGGATTTGAGAGGATAGAGGTTTTTACTGCAAACTACCAAGTAGCCCACTGTTTCCTCCCATATGTCATCATTTCACTTATCCAGTAGTCGACTTACAAGTAATTCAAAATAAAAAAAATGTTTGGTCTACAGGATTTGAATCATGTTACAGTTACAACTTATTTGACAATTTTTTTGACAATCCCCTCACATAGAGGTGGAGCCCACAATCGCGGAACACACCCCCATGTGAGGGGATGTAAAAAAACCTATCAAATAAAGTTGTACATTCAGTTTTATTGACAGAATTTTTACAAATGGTGAGGTGGTGCCATTTCATTGGTGATTGCTAAAAAAACACTGACCACAACATCTGGAAAAATACTGGAGAGAAATCATCTATACACTTGAGTTTATCCTTCAAAATAAACACTTCTTGATATACGAGCACTATGCGAAGGATTGCCCGTCCGACTCGAGGCTCCCAAATTCCCCAAGGGCAGACACACGAGCCAACAAGCTCAAACACACGATATTCGCACAATATACTATGGGTAAGAAGCTTGCAACCATACTTGCATAACAAACAGCATTAATGCACTTTTGATAATTTGGCTTTAAACCTGCAGTTAGCAATCTTGTCGTGCCACACGAGCAGAGAAGTTTGCTGAAGCTGTAACTCACTCCCCCACTCAATATGCTAGCTCTCTCCAACGGATCATATGCCTCGCATCTTTGCACAATTTCTGCATTGCATTATCCTCTAGGCCAATAGGTATGAAAATTCTCCACAATTACGGGACTTCTTCCTGATGGATGGGTGTCTACAGTGCCCCCGCACCTCTGCCCTAGTAACCTGTACCTACCACCTTCAACACCAACTTTCACCCTCTGCCCTCGCATTGGTTCCTCAAATGGACGGCTCTCTGGACGCAACGTCATACTACATGTCGAAACGCCCAACACAAATGCCCCCTCTTTGTGATTTTCTCTGCAATGGTTTCTCAAGCTCTACGAAACAAACTTTCATGTAGTTAGGCTCAACCACACAATGCATGCCTTTATTTCCACATCCCTGAAGCTTTCCATCATCAATTTCACTTGTTTGCTAGCCCTGCTTTGCCACACTTCTTGAGGCTTGTCACGTCTTCGACAGTCCCAAATTCGTTTATGCAAGAACGTGTGCCATCAGTTTCTCATAATCAACCACAACCACACAACGTTCACAGTGATCCCGCTCTGATACCACATGTGATGGATGGCCCGTCCCTTGGGCTCCCGAAGTCCTTGGGGCAGCCTTCTCTACTTACATACACAATATTCGTACGATATATTTTGAGTACAAAGCTTGCAAACATACCTACATTATGGACAATGTTAGTGCACTTTCCGATAATTTAACCTTAAACCCGTAATTAGCAATCTTGCACTGCCATACACATACGGATATGGCTAGGGAAGTTCGTTAATCCGTGACCGATAAGAGCGCTTATATAACTTAATCCCTTGTGGCATAGCTTTTGAAAAGTTAAATGATTTGACTAATTTTATGAAAGTGTTTCTTCTAGTTAAAAATGTTTTTAAAGAAAGTCTATCAATATGACTTCTTCTAAAAGTACTTTCAAAATAGAAAACTTTTTTGAAAAATAGTTTCTAAACAAAAATAAAGATAAATTCTCTAAAATCACTTTTATAAAAAGAAAAACTAAAAGTAAAAAAACCTGCCAACGGACCCTAAAATAGTTTCAAGATAAAATAACATTACTATTAAAGTGATAATACATTTCCAATAATGTTTTTTTTTTTTTTTGTTACATCATAATTTTAAATATTTTTTTATTTGTCAAATTGAACAAAAATAACCAATTAATTATCTCTTTGATTTTGTTGATTTATTATTATTATTATTATTATTATTATTAGAGTATCTCTAATAAACTTTTCAAACATGAAATTTTATTTCTTTTAAAGAGTCAACCCATAAAATTATATTTTAAAAGACTATTTAAACTAATATTTTAATTTAGAGAATAAGTTTGACTCTCTAAATTCGGATAGCCATACCTACTTTTTATAACTAAGTGCATTCATTCAATGGAGGAAAATTATATAATAATTTAAAAGAAAGCTAGTAAAAATAAAAGATACGAAAAAATAATAAATATTTTTTTGAGAGAGCTTATTAGAGTACTTAAGAATTTTCTCTCTAAATTTATAAATACTCACTAAATTGTGGAATATACTCATTAAAAATAGAAAGTCTCTTGAAGCTCATGCTTCTATTGTTATTAATGTTAAGAATCTGTTTGAACCCCACTTTATTGAAAAATGTATTTTAAAATAGTATATTGATGTAAAATGTATGATTAAAAAATTTTAAAAAATGTAATATTATTTTATTAGAAAATATTTGGCTGAAAAAAGAGAGAATGTATTTTGAATATAACGACATCAAACAACGGCTAAGACCATTAGTTTGAAGCACTAAAACCCAGGCCGCATTTGTAGGTGAAACCACTTGCCTAAAAGAAAAACCTGGGACCAAAATTTATAAAACAAGATATATCCTATTTTTTAACAGTAACGAGGCCCACAGAAAGCATTACGCACTTCTATAAATGGTCAGCATCTCATGTTGCATCTCCAAATTGTCCTTGCAAGAAATGGCTTTTATGATATCCAAAAACCGGCAATCTCTATCTGAATCAGAAAAGATGACTGAGGCGGCTGAAACCCTCGATTCAGTCACCACCCAGCTCTTTCTAAAATCATCCTCGACTCAACGTTCAGCCCAAAGACTTGACAAAGACGTTGTTCTCAGGCGTTTACGGTACCATAAGACGTTGAACAAGGTTAAGAACACTTTCCAGGCAATACGTGCACCAGAGGATGGAGGTACAGTATCAGATTATAACGAGAAATGGCTTGAACAGGGTGATAATTTCTCCTTCCCATGAGTCATCGGATTATGTAGGCTGCTGGCGGCTAGAAGTGAAGTGTTGGGTATGAGGGTGGGTAAGAGGGCTTGTCATCTGTTAGAAGGATGGCACTGGAAAAAGTGCAAGGCCCGATTCTATAGGCTATATCTCAGTGAAATGACTGCCTGGAAAATCCCAGGTGATGAGTCTTGAGGATTTGTATGTATGTATGTATGTATGTTTAAGTTGTTTTAGAAATAGATTATATGTTGATTTGTTTACATCATTATTTTCATTCCTTTCTCGTACTGAGTGTCTTGGTTTGGTTACAAGGTAGCAAAATTTCTGCCTCACATCCTAAAATCTCCAACTGTTAAGACCCCATAAGATGATTTGAACTGAACTTACGAATGTGTTCGACATGCAGACTTACTAATAAAATTAAAGAAACAAAGAGAGTAAAAATTATTTTCCAGTGTAAACTTGTTGTACATTACACCAGAGTTATGTGCCAAGACATAAATTTTTTATAAGAAAAACAGAGGGTGACAGGGTATATAGAGAAGATTTCTTTTCAAGAAATGCTCCGATATTTACAAAAACACGAGCAAACTATACTTGAGAAAATATTTTTATTTAGTGATCTACAATCTCTACTCCAAACACATATGTTGGACTTTGAAGTCGCATAACTAGAACTATTGTGTAAATTATAACCAATTCAAAGCACAGTTTATAGTTTCAGCCCATACTCATGATTTAAATATGCTTACATCCTACAGGTACCACAGAAACTGAAAATGGTACACAAAAAATTAAAATAAACAGGATAACTGCCTCTTCAATGGATGTACAAGAAAAAGTATGTCTCAAATTTGATATGCATACACAGATTTATTGCTTTAACACAGAATGCAAAGAAAAAATCATGCGATTCCAAGTTTCCACCAGAATATTAAATACATCAACAAATATCAGAGAGGTCTGCTCCTACATGCCACCATCTACAACTCTGTTTTGCAAATAACAGTGAGGTCCTAGCGTTTCACATCTTTCCATCCATTCCAAATATAAAATAAAATAATGCAAGATCTAAAGTGAAATTGAGGCTACTTTCCAAAGTTGCATTTCTGGCAAAAGAAATCCTTTCCCTATCTTGCATACTCATTTTCTTTTACTGAATCTCCCCCAGATGATCACATTTTTCAGTTCAGAAAATCATCACGTGAATGGGTTTTACAGTGTCACGTATTTAGTTATTCATCTCATAGAAGACACTTTATATTCCATACAACAAGGGCAACAGTATGGTCATTCAGGTCTGATGCAATATAGAGAGAACCAAGATTACTACCCTATCCTTCTCTTTGATTTTGCAGAATCACTAAACAGTTGCAAAAATTTTATTTTAAACCTTCATATTACAATTTTACGATCAATTGCACCTTTTATTTGTAGTATGTTGGAAACCCAAAGCGAGATCACTTTTAAGTTAAATAAGATGCACTACAAAAGTTATCAACATTTTAGACAAATGTATTGGATGTCTGAGTAGAGCAAAGTCACGAGCACTCATGGGAAGCATAAGATAATTTATTGAAAAAGCGACAACTAATAATATTTTGCATAATTATTGCAAATAGAAATGGAAGCTGATTTGGAACAACCTATAACCTGACGCTTTTGTTGGATGTATAGAGGAAAAATGGATACCACTTGGCGTAAGAAGAGCACAAATCATATTTGGATATTCCTTTAGTTCAGACATCAGGCAAATCCACCTCTAAACTATTTACCGATGCTAAATGCAAAAAAATAAAAATATGCTCTCTAACCACTCAAACTTCTAGATGAGGTCATTTCAACAAAGTACAGAGCTGGAAGAGGTTCTGGGTTTTAAGTCCTTTCAGGCCTAAGATGGAAAGCGTATGGGGTTGGGCATAGGTGGCGGTTGAATACTAAATTTAAATATATAAAACGTGTCCCCTTTCTAAGGGTTTAAACAAATAAAACCACTGGAGTTACAAATCTTACTGAATTATGCTTTGCAAACACTAGAATAACATGTCATATCATTGCACAGTAAGTTGTACACTTGCCATTCATCTCCAATCTTACTTTAGCAAGCCAGAAGAGGAAAGGAGGCGCAATGCTTGGTTTGAATTGTTCAAAACATCAGAAGATCTCGCAACCTGCATCTTTCGTTTCTTCAAAAAGTCCAGTGAACTTTGTGGACATAGAGCAGGCCGGTCCTTTAACATAATAACGAGATCTAGCCTGTCAAAAAATCGAAAAGAAAAATGTTATTTAAGTCAATCTTCATGTAAGAAACTTTCTTGCAAAGGCACCACATCTGCAGGGATTCATCAGATATGAGGTAGCATATACGAACATGTGCACTAGCATGTGTGTTTGTGTGTATGAGAGTGGAAGGAAAGACTCACCTAGAATCTTTTATCTTTTTCCTTTTAGAAGCATTCTTCTCAGCTTTTTCGTCTTCAGAGTCTGATAAGAACACTTTCCTGCAGATGAAACAACTTCTCTTGGTTAAAAACCCGAATTACGGAAACGAGCACAGCAACACATACATGCACCTGGGGCAAAAGGGAAGCACATAGAAAGTATGGTAGCATACTTCTTATTACGTGCTTTCTCATTAGCTGCAATGTGTTGGACAATATCAGCTGGTAGCATTCCCTTGTTATCCTGAGACTCTTCGTCCGTTTTGGTTTTTGTTTTATTTTTGGTGCTGCCATCTCTGCGTGATGGTCTTGGAGTCAACTTTTCAGCCCACTTTTTACGACGTTGTTTTCCTTCGCGAACAACCCTATAAAAGAAAAGGATCATTCTTTGTCACATACAATATGGATCCTCACTAACAATTACTGTGAGGCAATTCACTTGTAAGAGAATCAATTTCTTAAAAGTCCTCAGAGTTTGAATGAGAAATAATGAAAACCATCAACATGAAGCATTGTAATTATCTAAAAATTCAAAGGATGCTGGCAAATCAACCGCAAGCAACCAGGAAATATCAACACTATAGTTCTACATTTTCACCATAATTAATTGACAAAGACTGTGTGAGAGACATAGTATAGTAGTTATCAGTTAAAAATAATGTTCAAACTTCAAACTCAATAAATCTTCATCAATTAGCAAAACTATGATTTTAAGGAAATTTTGTATGATTACTCGAAACTTCTTTTCCGAACTAATGCCCTTCAATTTAGAATCCATGGGAGAATGCTACACGTTCCAAGTGAAAATCCTGCCCAGCTATTCTAATCAATATTAACAATTTTACATCTCCAATCGAAAATCCTAAAATTCTCGAGCAGTTTTAGCCTCAGTTTGGACTCATTTTTAACCAGAGCACAACTTTTATCAAGCCTTCAACCACACATTTTTTTTTCAAGCTTTATAAAAATCTGGTTTTTAATAAAACCTAATAAGAGCTTAGACTCTGACATCAGTTCACTTGTTTTCCGTTAACATGACAGCATAATTTGGCAGTCACATAGGAGTTCCATTAACAGCCGTGCGGTTTCACAATGCCGGATTAACATTTAAGGGTAAATGCTCCGGAAAAAAGACATTACCAATACTCTTCAATATATAATATTAAATCGTTCGTTAGGAAAATTTCTAAGCTAAAAATTTAAATTTACATTCCAAATAAAAATAGAAGTCTCATACCGCGCCTTATTTTCTGTTTGGACTTTCCTAATCTCCTCGTCCTGTTGTATTCCCTGAAAATTAAAGAACGAGAAAGACAATTTAATAAGCAGTTGTCCTTTCTTATTATACAAATTCTGATTTTACAGTTGACAAACCTGCTGGACTGTAAACTCCTCGGGAGCACCGGAGTCGCTATCAACTTCTTCTCTATCCGACATTTTTTTGTTCCAAATCTTCTTCAATTGATTGAAGGCGAGGGTTTTAGCTCTAGGGTTTCTGCGGCCACAAATATGCTGTGGTCGTGTGTTGTGGGAATAATTTTAAAACAATTGAAAGTATAGGAAGTTAAGATGTTAAAAGACCCCTAATAAAAAAAAAATCTTGAATTAAAAAAAAAATGTTTATTATATTTGCACCATATTTTTTATAAATACTCCACATTTTAATTAAAATTAAAGGTAATATCTTTATTTATTACCAAACTTGTATCCTTAACTTTTTTTCATTACATTCTTATTTTTAACAGTTTGTTGATTAAAAAATTTTGTCCTTAATCATAATTTTCGTCTAAAAATATTGTTAACGTGTTTTAAAATGAGGTTCAGATAATTAACCGTATTTTTGTATTATTATTATTATTTATTTATTTTGCTTATATAAAATACAATGAGCAAATGAATCTTTTAATTCTGTCTCAAAGAAAATTTTGGAAAGAAGCAATAACATAGAAAAATTTATGTTAATTTAACAATAAAAAAAATAGGCTAACTTAAGTCAAATTTATTAAGGTGGTTGGTATCATAATGTTGTGCTCGGAAATTACCCAGAGTGGACCACAACATTAATTAGGAAACTGGCTAGTTATGATTTATTGATCGCATAATTTTGAGGTTGTTGCCAGATAGAGGGAGATGGTGTCGTTTACAATTTTCAAAAAAAAGATAAACCGTATCCTTAGCAGCCCCCATTTGCCCTACTCTGCGTCTTGATGAAGAGGGTAAATCACAGATTATGCCTCCAATGGTATATCTACCCTGCCCTAGGTCTTGGTGAAGGAGGTAAATCGCAGGTTATGCCTCCAAGAGTACAGGGTGGAAGGCTGCTTGTACACTTACACTTACCCAAGGGCCAAATCCATATTTCAGGATTCGAACCCTTGACGCGGCAGCCTTAAACAAAGTTGGAGTTTTTCCACCTTTCCCTTTTACCACTTGGAGATGTGCCCTGGAGACGTCGTTTACAATTTTCAATCTCGACTAAAAGCAGGTTTAGAAAATATTTATAAATGGTCTAAATTGTAAATATATGGAGATGAGTAGTAAATAAGTTGGTAGTATACAAACTAGAAGGGGCTATGTGAAATCATCCAAAAAGAATGAGGGTATAAAGGTCATTTTATTAAATGGTAGTAAACGCCAAAACCAGAAAAACTATCTTCTTTCCCGGGCGAAGGATTCCGGTCATCTAACTTCTCTCTCTAGTCTCTATTACTGTTCGACCAATCAATTTTTTCTGAAATGTCGCAACCCAATTTTTTCTGCAGAAGAAGATTGTTGGAATCTACCATAATCGATACGACACGGCAATTACGAAATATGCATTTATTTCCTCCACAACAACGTCAACTGTACCCTTTTAATTCCTCCATAAATATCGTTTTCTCAAGTCAACCTTGTCTTATCCATCATTTCCTCTTTTTTTTGCTATAATTACTGGGTTCACTCATTTCCAGTTTTTTTTCCCTGTTGAAGTATGCTTGAAGCAGTTCAGAATTCTTCTGTGTTGCAGCAATGATTTTTCGCCAAATGATCCTTTACCTAGTTTTTTCATTTTTGTTTGCTTTATCAAATGGACAAAGTAATAATAATTCGTCTAAATGTCATCGATCCTGTGGAGTGGCGAAAAACAGTGTGCCATACCCATTTGGGTTCTCCGATGGTTGCGGGATCAAGTTGAATTGTACCACTGGAAATATCAAGATAGGTGATTTCCTAGTCGAGAACGTGACATCAGATAATATCATGATCAATCTTCCGGCGAAATGCAACCGCTCGATTGAAGAACTCTCCAAACTCTTCGGCCAGAATTACGCCTTGACGTGGCGAAACGGTCTTCTGTTGCAGAATTGCAGCTCGCCTGCAGGTGATTGTGTGATTCCCAGCATCATGGTGAATTCCCTTTTTCCCGGGTTTGACGGGTGCGGTTCCCCGCCGGATAGTATAAATTGTTCTTCGGGAACTGGTGGCGTCGCGGATTTTTTACATTATAGTAAAGTGAAGGAAAGAGGGAATTGTAGCATTTTGTTTTCGTCAATTGTGATGGATTTGAATGAAAATGGTAATAATAGCAGTACAAGTGGAAGCTCTGCCGTGGAGTTGAATTTTCAGAAGGTTGAGCTGGGGTGGTGGCTGGAGGGGTCCTGTAATAATGGTGGCAGTAGAAATTGTCATTCGAACGCGAATTGTACAGATGTTCATGTTCCCTATGGAAACGCGACAGGGTTTCGTTGCAAGTGTAATCCAGGGTATGCCGGCGATGGCTTTGCCGGCGATGGCGCTAATGGTTGCCGGAAAGGTTAGTCCATGTATTTTTGGAATTTAAGTTATATTTAGTATATAAAAAATGTGTTGTGTGGCGCGTTTTGCTACACGTGCACTTCCCTCACATAGAGGGGGTTCAAGACCAATAAAAAGATCGTGGGCCACTCTCGTGTGACTATCCGTGAGGGTGACAAAGCTTAATTATTTTGCCCGTGGCAAAGGGTTGAGGTTGACCAATTCAAACACCACACGTACACGTGAATAGTCGTTTGATGGAATGGTTGAACGGTCGTTGGTTTTCTTATGGAAGTATTGATTGGGTAAGAATTTATTGAGGATTTGTTGGACATTAAAACGCGGTTAATTTTCTGATTAAAATTTGGGATGTTCGGCCTGCTAAACTTCCTTTTTATTTGATGCTTGAACATTGTTTAATAAATTTTGAAAATATTCGTGGAAAAATAGATGACGAAATGGTTGATCGAAAGGATATATGTAAATATTAGACTTTGAGCTGCTATATAGTCTTAAAATATTGTGGTAGGTGACAGGATGACTAGTCTTCAGGTTACTTCCTGGAATTTCGTGGTAAACCAAAAATAAGTAAATAACCATGCTCTATTAAAGAGGCTGAGCACCTGGAACCATAGTGGTAAATGCTATGTTGAGTTGAGAGTGCCGGTGGACTTTTAAAAGGTGAACTGAACGCTCGAAATTTTTACTTGAGGAAATGTAACTTCAAGTAATTGGAAGGCATATAATTTTAAGTAATTTAAGTGAAAATTTTAGTCAATAGGTAAGCTGTAAGCCTGTAAAACTTATTTGAAGATAGTGTAAACTTTAGAGATTTTATTTCTACTAAACTGCTTTCAATTTGGGATAAGGTATAAGCTTTTATTATTTATGAAGTGATTGGAAGAATCCTGCATCACTAGTCCACACGATTGCTTCGCAGTGTCCATATTACATGTTTTGGGTGACTACAGACCTCACTGCACGTAACACCTGTATTTTACTCTAGTTGTATTCACTTATGTGCCTCTGATATGTAAGACGAAGGCCTTTAAATCTGTTCAATCATCTGAGACCATGCATTGCAACTTCGATTTTGAATACTTTATATGCGTCCTGCTAATTTCTTGTTTTCTGTGTTGATGCCATTTATCAGTTTCTGATTGCAACGCTTTGAAGTTCATGTTGCGTAAATGTGACGGAACTAGAGTAGGCATTCTCGTGGGAGGTACTTCTTATCCCTCAACTTTTAGTTGTGCAATCTTGATTGCATCCTCTGGATCCTAATAATGTTGATCTCCTATAGTTTTAGAAGGGATCAAGTGCATTGTTCTCCAAGTTCTATCAGTTTCTCTTTCCAGAAATATATGCTTGTTGCTTCTAGTCATGTTCCTTCACTACATAAAATGATTTATGTGGTACACGTGGAAAGCTTCTCTTAGCTTTATCTGGCTGCTAATCTTGTACTTAATCCCTGATGCATATTTTCAACGGCCTAGTTGTTGAGATTATGTGTGATTTTTTGGAAATTCGATGATGTTGTGTCTTGCATTATTTTTTCTTGTTATCATGTCATCAGTTCTAAATAAGATAAAAGTGATTTCCACGCCATGCTTTCAACTTCGTCCTTCCTGCAACTGGTTTAGTGTTGTTTCTGTGATAATATTTTCTGCTACCGTATTTAGGGTCCACAAGATTTAGCTATCAAATTGTATCTCGCACTTGTCCCAACATAGTTACAGGCAAATAACATTGAATTAAGTTCACAATGTACTAAATCATGCTTAAAAAACTTTTACTTAAGTTGAACTCGAAATCGAAGATACCATGCTAGGTCTTACATGGGCCTTGGCGGCAAATTTGGTGGGTGTTCTTGATCATTTACATGGCTCTTAAAAAAGCGCACTCATTTAAATGATAGCACTTTAGATTCAAACTTGCTTAACATTGTCCATTCTTTTTCTGTTTGAAGGAATAGTTGCTGGAGCTTCATTGGTGACTATTCTAGCTCTCATCTGCTACTGCATAAAGAGACATTTTAGATCTTTGAAGAATCGATGGAGTTCAAAGCGTCTGCTTTGTGAAGCTACAGGAATCATCAGTGTCCCATTCTATCCTTATAAAGAAATCGAGAGAGCCACAAATAGCTTTTCTGAAAAACAGAGGTTGGGAACGGGTGCCTATGGCACAGTTTATGCAGGGAAGCTGCACAATGACGAGTGGGTTGCAATTAAGAAAATAAGACATCGAGATCGTGACAGCATTGGACAAGTAATGAATGAAATCAAGCTTCTGTCCTCTGTGAGTCATCCAAATTTAGTTCGCCTTTTAGGTTGTTGCATCGAGAATGATGAACAGATACTTGTTTACGAGTATATGCCAAATGGTACTCTATCTCAGCATCTGCAAAGAGAAAGAGGTTCTGTTCTACCGTGGACAATACGTCTGACTATTGCCACTGAAACAGCTCATGCAATCGCTCATCTTCACTCAGCGACAAATCCTCCAATTTACCACAGAGACATAAAATCGAGTAATATACTATTAGATTATAATTTCAATTCGAAAGTAGCAGACTTTGGTCTATCGAGATTTGGCATGACAGATGATTCCCACATTTCCACAGCACCTCAAGGGACTCCTGGTTATGTAGATCCCCAATACCATCAAAACTTCCATCTTTCAGATAAAAGTGATGTTTACAGTTTCGGGATGGTTCTTCTAGAAATTGTCACAGCAATGAAAGTAGTTGATTTTTCCCGACCTCACAGTGAGATTAATTTGGCTGCACTTGCAATTGAAAGAATTGGGAAAGGTCAAGTTGATGAGATAATAGATCCATTTCTTGAACCGAATAGGGATGCTTGGACGCTGTCTTCTGTACACAAAGTGGCCGAGCTGGCTTTTAGATGTCTTGCTTTTCATAGGGACATGAGACCTTCAATGATGGAGGTGGCAGATGAACTAGAACAGATCAGGCTTAGTGGTTGGGCACCATTGGAAGAGAATATTTGTATGGGATCTTCAGTGGCATCTTCTTGTTCTTCACGTTCTTCACCATACCTTGGAAGTGAAAAGTCACTAAATTCTATATCAAATAACAAGTCCGGGGTAGGAAGTAGGAGATTGTTTGTTTCACAGAGGGCAGGGGATGGCCTGCCTACAATGGAGGAGACAAAGGATAGTTCACCTGTTTCTGCGCAGGATCCTTGGTTAAGTGAACAGAGCTCGCCATCAACGAACAGCTTATTAGGTAATGTAGTTCGGTGACTCAAGAACTCGTTCTTTTGACAATTATTCAAGTATAATTATATGCAGAGTTTGTGGATACTATAGTGGCATTCTAAAGTTTTATGTTACTTTTGCTGTGAATACAAAAGGAGGTGTATTTCACATTTTTCTGCTGGGAGATTTGTACTCATTAGCTGATAGGCAAATGGTTATATAGAGGCTCTTTATACTTTTAAACCATAATCCACCTCTCTATGCAGTATATATTTGTGATTTTATATTTTTTGCAGATATTATTGTAAGTTTTGTAATTTTATGGTTGATTTGATAAGGCAGCCCAATACAGAAAACCAAGGAAAACAAACTAAAATTTTGTCCATTATATTATCACTCTACTACTATGATGAAGCACATAATAATTTTGATACGTTGACTATAATGTATTCAGTTTCAAGAGTGACAAACGAGTGTCGCTTGTTTATTTCTCAAAAAATTACGAAAATATAAAAAAATTGCTTTTGATATTTTCGTATGTCACAATTAAATATCAACTGTTTGATTATTTAACCAATGATTTCACAACCATAATATTTGGCTTGATAAGTCCTACAGTCTTGTAGAATCAAGTTACTTTATTGAATGCCCAATGAATTCCAATGTCGAAGATTTGATAAGTACTAGTAATTCCAGCAGTACATGAGTATAAACCATGGAGAGTTATGGAAGTTTCACAGTATATATACACATTTGCACAACACTAGATGTACTACCCATGACTTCTTGGATCAACAACTTGATGCACTTTCCGGGCTTCTGCACTTGAATATTGTCCCACAACACAAGCATAAGGTACAGTGGTTTCTCTGCGAGCAAGGGCATCAACATTCTCAAGAAAGTATTTCCTAGGAAGGCAACCCACAACATTGCCCTCTTCATTCCCATCTTTGTCCAGGAATGCAAAATGGGGGATACCCTCAACACCAAACTCGACAAGCTCTTGTTCCCACTTCATGTTATCGATCAGCATAACAAAATTAACTCGGTCCCTGAATTACAAAATTAATATTTTTGTAAACAATAAAAAAAGGAAGTAAATAACTTGCGCCACAACTATGAAGTAAGAATAATGCACACAGAACAACCAAATATTTCTCGAGATGATATTTGAAGAACAGGGGAAATTCAACCAGTTAGCCTCTGCAAACTATCGAGCTACATAAAATGCTTCACACATTAGACTGTGAAACAAATGATCATCATGGTATGAGACAATAATGGCAAGCCAGCTGCTATTTTCTAGGATTTAAACCAGGCGCCTGAAGCATTGGTAAAATATATCATTACATACTATAAAATTGAAGAAGTGAAAGTTTCATATGTTGAAAATAGTAACAAACAACCAGCATGAATGCTAAATGCTCATTCCAGACATCTGAAGATATATATGGAGATCGACAGAGATAAAGCTTACATGAATATACTGTAAGAAACTGTTCACTTTTAATGCCTCACATCACTCTTCATATTCAACTATACTCATTCCACCTTTCTAAAGTCATTTCATGCATCCCTATCATGTTCAAAAGTCTGGAACACAATTCAGATGCTAAACTCAAGATATAACCATGAATATGGATTCAGAAATACGAAAACAAATTTCTTATTTCCTCATATAATGGGACTAGAGAATAAAACACAAGTGGCCAGAAATATTCATTACATTTAGTGAACTAAATTATTAATTTGAAAAGAACATGTACTCAATTCCTGCCGTGACCATCATGAGCGCAACTGAAATTAGGAGATTAAGCTTTACAAAGCCTCTAAGCTTGAATTTATATACGTGCCAGTCATTTAATCACTTTTGGGCAGCATGTGTAAGAGCTGACATAGGCAGTTAATTGAACTATCTAAAATGACAATTTTTAGACAAAATATTTAATTTACTGTTTCAAATAGACAGAATAAAAATAATATTACTAGGCAGTGGCTCAAGTATTACTAAAACTTACTTGTACTGCTTTTCGACCTTGTAGACATCAGGAGCTAATTCTCGACATACTTCACACCAATCTGCATAGAACTCCACAACAGTAGGCTTCCCATTAGAAAGGGCCTACACAACCAGGATCCAAAGAAAAAGAAAAGAAAGAAAAATGAGGAATCAACTGTACACAAAATGATTCAATACTAGGAGGAGCTTCAAGATTCATAAAATGGAAACACTAAATGCTGGAAAGCAGCAGTTCTTAGTGATTTTTAAATAAATAATTCACAAAAAAGGGATTTTCTAACATTCTTTTGGAACATAAAGTCACAATTTGATAAACACGATCGAATTTTGGAAAAGCCATGATATTAGTTCAAAAGAAAAGAGATAAAATTCCCTTCTATCATCATAAATCAAAGCAATTAAAATTATATTCTCTTTCTAGTATGAGTATCTACCATGTATCTTATGCGAAATTATTGCTACATGAAATGTTAAAACTTGGAATAACCCATTTTGACTATTTCAAGCAAGATGATCTGATGGTTTATATGATCATATATCGAGCAAACCTCCTCATATGGCAATCCTGCTGCAGAGAGGTCCTTCAAAGACAGACAGACCAAAGTCCAGCCGTGCTGACAAGAAAAGTCCGACAGCTGCAAGTAGAGAAACCACTGCAATCTGCCTATTCAATTTTTTGTCCGGATACTCTGGAAATCCAGCACCTACTGATGAAGTAGCTGTTTCTTTACTTGAGTTAGCTGTGTTACCGTCATTTTCACATTCAGGATCTACACCCTTTTTTTTTTTTTGATAACGCGGACCAATTTGCGCGCAACTCGACAAATCGCACAAGTCCTGAAGTTTAGGACCAAATACTCACAACAGTGGCCCGGACGGGACTCGAACGGGCGATCATTGAAGAATGAAGAGCAAACTCAAGACGTAATCAATTGAATAACCCCTCAAGCTCCAGGATCTACACCTTTTCCTGCACTATTTGTGACCCTCAAGTTCAAACTCGATACTGAGCTCAAATTATCCATGCAAACTACTAGTAATTTAGGCTTGTCAAGAACGAAGGTTAACAAAAACCCAAATGAATATTAGAGCAATTGGTCGGCTACTCAAATCGTTTACAGAAGAAAATTTTCATTATACTTTAGACGACAAATTACAATATTTAATCGAAGAAAGTGACAATCAAGTAAGGGGAATTAAGTAGCATACCTCTGTTGTATTGGAGTCAACTGGATTGGGGTTGCCTTGGCAGAAAATTCTTTCATGTCTGCGAGTCTGATTCTGCGACTGGAGAGAGAAATTCACGAAAAGGGGAGATTGATTGTGGGAAAGGAGATAATAGGGGCGGAATCTGGAGTGGCCGAAGGTGCTGGAAGCTGTGGAAGCTGTAGCCACCCGTGGCATGACAAAGAAGTGGCGGCGCTTATCTTTGTCGAGCAAACTATTCAACATGTAACTGTTAACTTGATTATACGGATTATTGTAACTAAAGTGTCATCCAATTTTTCAAAATTCATTTTCCTCCAATTTATTTTTAATTATATATTTTGCCTTTTTTTCAAATGCTAGTCGCATGCCCGTACAATTCACAGGCTTTAGTATTTTTAAGGTAATGTTAGTATATCAAATATTAATGAAAAGCTAAATTATTATGAAAGTTAAGTAAGTTTTTATCTAACATAATAATTAATAAAATTTCATAATGATAATATTCTAGTAAGATTCAAATGAAAAGTTTTTGGTAACCAAAATTCTTTTCAAGGAAGAAATTAATGTGGACAATATTAATCTTTCTAAACTTACTAATGTTTGACAATTCATATTTGTGCTTTCTACCTAAATATTTATAAAACCTACTGACTAAGGAAGAAAGTTTATTGGAAAATAAAGGAGTGAAGATGTAATCAACACGGGTATCATGCTAAATGAAAAAGAAAAATAACATAAGAAGCATGAGCTATCTTCATCAATGAACATAAATTATTGTTATTATCAGAAAAATGATTATACCTGATTTAGGGTCTGGCATTTGTAATATGTGAAAGATCATAAAAATCTTTAGGAAGACTTCAAATTCTAAGTCATTTTTATAAAAAAGAAATCTAAACATCATTCCATAGAAATGCCACACAGAAAGCAAAAAAAAATGCACAGATCTATTAGAAGCTCGAACAAAGACAGTTGATTCAACAGTACGACTGTAGGAATATAAACGAATATCAGAAGATGAAGAAATTGAACGCATAAAGATCATAATTACAGGTATATGTCTAAGATACCTGCAAATTCTTTGGGTTTCTTTTGTACAATCGTGATAGGAAGAATGAAATCAAGGTTAAAACAAACACAAATGGGTATCCAAGACTCAAAGGCTACTTTGTTTGTCATTTGTTTCCCACATGGTATTGTTGAATCAAAACCAGAACATGAACAGTAAGAATCTACTCTAAGTTCATCCCTAACAAAATACTATTTACATCCACCTCATATTCCAATTTTGTCCTTATTAAATTCATTCATGTAAATATTATATACATCCACGTGAATTTTATACATTCATCCCACTTTAAATGCATCCCAAACCCCATATTTTAACCACTTGTCTAACCAAAAGAAAGAATCAAGAAATCCCTTACGGTCCGTTTGATTGCAAGGGTGGAAAATGGGTGGACAGAAAATTTTTTTGTAGGGAAAAGATTTTCCTAGAAAATGTTTTACTGTGAATTGTAATTTGTATAATTTTCCACCAGGAAAATTTTTAAAAGTTTGGATCTTTTTGTCACGTTTGGCTTTATTTTACATGGAAATTGTCCATTAAAAATGATTTTTTTTTACAATTGTTATGAAATTTGTTAAGATTTTGCTACGGGTACATCACGATATACAACATCACGGTGTCCACCCCCTCACATGGGGGTGGGACCCACTTAAATAAAAATATTTTTTTATTTAAGTGGGTTCCACTCCCATGTGAGAGGGGTGTAGATGTCAAAAAAATCCGACAAACCCGATACCCTCGGGGCCTCGTTCGGGAAAAACCCGCTTAAACGGGTAATGAGGCGGGAAATTTTGCCCTGGGACGGGTTCGGGGGAATTTTGACTTCGTTTTACATGGAAATTGTCTATTAAAGTGATTTTTTTTTTAATTGGTTATGAAATTTGTTAACATTGCCAAAAAATAAAAAAATAAAAAAAAAATTTATGGCCCGGAGAGCGAAAACTTTTTCTTGACTAAATTTTACCTATCAAATAACTCTTTTGCATGAAAAAGGAAAATGTTTGCAATAACTTTTTTATTGCACACACACAAATAAAACCTCCCTAATCAAACCCAACCGTTAAAAATCTCACATCCCCGAGGACATACAGATCAAGCTTGTCTTCCAACCATCATTACTACATTTCATGGGTTGTTTTCACTTTTTTTATTTTTCACAAATGGACACTGATAATAATTTTAAGAAACTTTTCCTTGTCCTCTCCCTAATTCTAACTGATAGGCATCTTTAATCTCAGACTCATAGGCGCCATGAAAATACACACCTTCGAGTTGACAAGGAAATGCTGCGCGCAGAAAACATGAGGTACAGAGAAGCTCTCAGCAATACCTATTGCTCTAGATGTCGTCGTCTAATTTCTGCATCAGAACTATCCTTTGACCAACATCAAAAGGTAATACATATAAATAGTCTATTTAGAGTTATGTATTTTTAGAGTAATTTAAATTTGGATTTTGGGTTTTCATTTGTTAGAAAAATCAATTTAGAGTTATGTATTTTTAATTTTGTCCAAGTAAATTTACAAAGGATTTAAAATATAATAAAATTTAATTTTTAAAAGTGGATGTATATATAAAAAGTGTGGATGGAAATAGCGGTACCCTAAAGTTTTTCGTAAACATAGCTAATTCTATGCTCATATACTCATAAAAAGACATATAAGGCGTTCAAAAATCCATGAGATCGTAATAAATATCAGACATGCAATATATGTGCATCTGACATAAAGAGTTGGATTGAGAGAAATAAAAAAGGAACCTTTGAAGGTTACAGAAAAGCTATAGTTTCAAACTTCAGGACTATCTTATGTTTTGGATTCACGAAATGAAGTATTAGCTTCAACTAATCTCCTGCAAAAATATGAATGCATAATAAATTAACAACAAAAATATATGTTGAAGTAAAAATTTTCTCTAAACACAACTGCATAATGAAAGAATTAAAACAGAACAGAAATAACGAAAAGATAACTTGATAAAAGAGGCTCAAAGATACAACTACGAGGTATTTAATCAAACATCATCACCGGACCAAATGCAAACTAACAAAAGCGTCAAAGATGCTTTAAATGAGGAGGAACGTCATCAAATTTGTATCCAGGTAGCTTACAAAACAGGCTTTCAAGGATTGTCTTTATGCGTTCCACCAATCTTATGCAACTAAAACTTTTATTGGCTCATGATTGATGTTCTAAAATTATTACTAAAGTTTTAGAACTTCACACTTGAAAAACACACGAGCATAAAGAACTATACAAAACTTTCTATTTTCTAATCTCTGTAACGGACAATCTATCTTTAGAAATCTTTTTAAATACAAACATAATTGTTGAAGGTAACCTAAAAAACCCGAACTAACCTTCAACCAAAGGAAATATGGAACTGACATACCTGAAGTCGGTAGTTTTCGCTTATGGTGTCAATATTATGATCTTTTGTAGAAGTTTCAAAAAACTCCAAAGAAAGGCGAAAGTAAACAAATTAAACACTTCAAAATAGATCACAGAAGAATGAAATAAAATACATAATAGAAATATTAAAAAAACGTAATTTAGGTATTTTAGGTTTAATATATAGCTATTATATCTGAAAAGAAGAAAAAAAGGAAATAAGATCACATTCAAAAGTAAAGCTGAACAAACCGAAACAAATCAAACAAAAAACACAGAGTTAGAATATGAAAGGAACATAGTTTAGGCATTTTAAGATCAAAGATTGAATAACAAAAATGAAAAAAAAAAAAAAAAGATGATTCAAAAATATACAACTGAAGAATATCGCAGCCTCGTACTTCACTAAAGGCCACCGAACTTCCTCCCCATTTGCAGCTGAACACTTAAAAAAAACAGAAAATAAACTGGATCAGAGCTAATGTAACTTTCTTTTTCCTCTGAGGTTTGGTCGAGAGATGAGCTCCTCTAAAAGTAAAGGACTTGCGAAGAGAGAGAGAGAGAGAGAGAGAGCAATAGCCACTTTTATATAAGAGATATTTAGGGAAACCAGTTAATGAACAGTAACTAAGGGATTG